TAGTCGCTGGATGCTAATATGATGGATCTGGAAGTGATTTCTTCTTCTTCTTATGGGACAATTTGTTGTAATTTCGTCATTAAAACGAACTAATAGTCCTATGTATTATTCACTACTGATCCATTGTCCGTTTTCAAGATAATCGGTGGGTATTATGCGATGCGTTTGCTAAAATGCAGATGCGATATCATACCCATCCCATCTTTGCATTTTTGATTGCTTTGAAGGGCTTTCGCCAATCGATCAGCAATTCGACTAACTGCCGATTGGACTACGAAGTGTAATGACAATCGTTTATAAATCAAATTTGTATGCAATTTAATTAACGGCCAATTAAAGGCTTTATAACGTTGAATTCTAAAAAAAAAACATTTATTCCCAAAAAAAAAAAAACAGTTGTAGCAAAATTAAAATGAAATGAATATTTGAAATCATATCTGTTACTTAAAGTATTATAGTAAACTATTAAAAAAATTTATCGTGTAATTCATCCATGAATTAAATAATTTTAGCTTTTTTTTCGAAACCTTCAACGAGACAGCTAAGCATAAACGTTTAGGCATAGGCGAACGCAAGCATTGTTTTCCACAAATGCATTCCTCTTTTCCTTGTCTGTTGTTTAGACAAATAAAATAACAATTAAAGTCATTTCATTGAACAATTGCACACAAATTTTCCCGAAGCACCGACATACTGACCAATTCAAACACTTATTCACGTACGAACACTTGTAAAGAAAATACCAAATACTTATGTATATATATATACATATATATATTATCCAGTCGGCAGTTTACATGTATCAGCACAATTTCGTACAGTCAAGAAGACAAATATAAATAAGCACACTAGCAAACAAAACTTATGCAACACTAGTAGGTAAGTAATACTTATACGTTATATGTAGATAAATTCATAGCTTTAACGTTTTAAGCTTGGTACCGTAATCACGTATACAACACGTATATGTAAAAGTTTTCGCTTGAGGCCCAAAAGTTAAACATAATAGAAAGGTGAAAAATTTAAATAACTGCTAAAGGATTTGACATACACTACAGTACCACTAGTGGATACAACAAAAAAGCTGAGAGGTCATTAAACGGGAGCGACCAACAACAAAAGATCGCTTCCTTTCTTTCCTTTTTGACGCACGTTTGTGTGCGACATTTCATAAAGTTAGCCAGCCTTAGAGTATAAGGAAATGCTATGTCTTGGCAACGCGGGGAAGAAACACGGGTTTCTTACATTTCACTTACCAAAATCTTTACCTTATTGACGGTAGCGAGTGATGCTAAAAATTATCTTTATCAAAAATGATAATTAGTTGGAGAGAGAAAGAGAAGTAGTTAAGATAAACTTATGCTTGACAAACCTAAGATTCTAGGTTGACTAAAGCGTTTTATGCTACTATGCCTTTAATAATTGTTGAATGGGAATCTTGATCTACGTGAAAAGGCTTTCGTCAAAAACCAAGAAAAATGTCTTTTTTTTTCTTTTTTTTTTGCGAAAAATGGAAAATATCAATTTCCTAAAGAGCTTAATTTGAATCCGCTGAAATCACCCACGAGTGCTTGCCTAAGCATAACTATCTGCTCGCCGGAGAAACCCATCACTTTTTATGAGAAAGCTGCGATGCATTAGCTCGGTTCTAAAATGCGTACATTTGCAAGCTTTTGCTGACTTTATATCCCATAAGGGCTTTAAGCAAGCCTTTCAACTATGGGCAAGAGCTGTTCTTAACGCTTTTTAGATAGAAACCTATATATTGGAAGTTGCTGTCCGTTGTGTGAAAGCTTAATAACGAATTATTAATTTCAGTGAAATGTTAAATTTCGAATCAAATATTGTTTCTGCAACCAATTAACTTCATCTGGTCTTGACGGTTGTCAAATGTAGCTGTAAAAATTGGAACATTGCCATACGTCTAAAGAAAGTAGTAATATATTCCAGTAAATATTTTCATTGCGAAGCAATTCATTGCATAATAGAGTAAAGTATATTTAGAGGCACTCTCGTAAATCATTCTATACTGCCTGGCATAATATATTATTATAGTGCGCTAGAGTTATACATGTGGAGGAACAAATAGCTTTGTCCGCTAAAAGCCTTTGAGTTGGTGGACCGGGTAATTGGCTTCTTTTTGCCTTCATATATCCAAAATTTGACTGATAAACTTTTATCTCGAACTGATTTGCTATTACGAGGATGACCCATCGCGGACTTATCCTTTAACATCTAATAAGCTTGACGTAAAGCTACATGTGTTAAATGCATATTTTTAACCTTAGGCCTCTATAAAGTTGTCACGTGTCTTGAAGAGCATGGCCTATGAAATGCTGGATGTTCACGTGGAACCTGAAACCTTAAGCCTTTGAAATGAATACATTGTTTAAAGCGTACTCTAAGCGAGAATCAATATAATATACAAGGTGCATACCATAATACTTATTTCCAGGGTACGGCACGGTGAGAGGTAGATACAAGCCTAATAGAAAATATAATTTAAATCTTCGATGTATTTTTTAACGAAACAATCATGGGTAGATCACAAACAAAGGAAAGAGAAGAAGAAGGGGCTTAGTTTAGTTGAGAGAAATCCAAATAGCATATGAAGTATTTTCACTTTCTTTCGCTCCTCCCCTTTACATTAAGATAGCTTGAAATATTTAAATAAAAATAAATAAAACAAAATGAATTAAAAAAAAAAAAAAAGATATTAATAAATTGTTGATTATTCTGGACCTGTTTTGTATTGTCCATTTCCTTAAGCAGTAATCGATCAGTGGGTCAAAAAAGCTGTTCGTATATATACCTCTCCGTCACAAATGCGTAACGCGCCTACTAGTGCATAATTTCCATTTATTATTCCGGTATTTTTTATATTGATTTTCAGTTCACTATTCAATCTGACGATATAGTTATTGTTTTATCGCCTGTAACTGCATTGCTTACTACTTAATATAAATTAAATGTTCGAACTCAAACATAATTTTTAATATCGTGCTTTATGAAGCTAAACGTATGTGATGGATTGGTGTGCAATGTACACACACAAAAACATTTGCTTGGAAGTATTTATGTCTGCTGTATTGACTGCTTAAAAATTTCATTTTCAATTTACATGCATATATATACACACACAGTTATACACGCATGTACATATAATTATACAGGAAAAGTTAAGTTTATTCAGAATTGAATAACATAAAGCGAACGGAAGTCACTTTTTGTACAGTAATGAGAAATTAAGCCGGGATATTAAGTGATTGAAAGCAGCGATGGTAAAAGTGAAAAAAAAAGAAGACAAAATGAAAAGATGGATCTGTTCACAATAATTAATTGTCTCCATAGATAATGGAATCTGATCATGTAAATATTTGCTCTAAGAATTTATTGACAATAAAAGCCCAGAATTTCACTAAGATCAGAGATTTTTATATATTAATGTTATACAATTTGTCTCTTGCTTACGCTTTAGATGTCTACTGCTGGCCTTATAATCGTATTTAAAGCGAAAAATATGAAGTTTTCTGAACATTACACGGTCCCCGGTAATTTGTTTGTACATGACATCGTCTATGACGGACACTTAATGAATGAAAATTTATAAATTTGCATAGCAGTCTTGTGAATCGCTCCCACTTTAAGGCTTTATTAGCCCTACGATTTAAAATAGTTTTAATTAATGAACTAATTTTAAGCAATATCATGTGCCTTTTGACTTTTTGAAATGTGACAATCTTATGGGTACCCGCAAAAAACCCGATAAAAATACATACATTTTTGGATAATAATCTATTAATAGTAGGATTTTAATTTCAGGGGGAATTTATGCAAGCTTTTTCTTAGGCAGATAGGCCGATGATTTCATCCTCAAATCTTGTAATTAAAAAAAAAGGAAAAATTGATATGCAGGAGATGATAAAAGGAAAACTTCAACTTGATCGTGAGGTTCAAGTCCTAAGCCTCATTTCACACGATAATTGCAATTCAATCTTCCTTTGAGAGCAGAACAGCTATAATCTTTCCGCTTATCATTTTAGTATGCTGGAGTTTCAGCACAAGTTGATTGCCAATTGCGCCAATCGGAAATTGAATTTCTAGCTTGCGGTGACTCCTAGTACATTCAAATCGCATCGATAGTTGGGAGATTGCTCAATTCCAATTCAAATTCCACTACCCAAAATTCATACAGCACCATCAGCACTCTTCTTCCTGTAACTAGGACGCGCAGTTTATCTCAAGCAGCTGTTCGCAAAAACTGTTCTTTAGTAGGCACAGGCACATCTCATCCGATTTATAGTAGTATAGTAAAGTAAAATTGCTTTCCCGAAAACTTTAGCGATTGACCTAAGGGCTTGACGCATAGCATTTAATTCAAGATTTTTTAATTGCACCAAAAATTTTAAGACAATTTCAAAAGCGGGCACCACTGCCCTATTACGTACATTTTCATTTATTTTTGTCGTGTAAAGTAACTAAAAAAAAAAACACTTGTAAACAAATACAAACAAAAACGTTTGAAATATGTTAGTAATTTAGTAAATTTACTTTTCATATTTTTAATACGTTTGTCATTTGCAATAAATATAAAAATATGAAAGAAAGAAAACAAAAAAAAACTAAAAACATTTCCTAAACAAAACATCGAATGTATTACACATGCAAGCAAAATCATTTTCAATGCTTTTTGTTAAGCAAAATCAATCTGGTAATTAACGGTTCGTAAACGTCATCATTATTAGGCTAAAGTGAATTGATTACATCTAATAATAATGCTGCACATACTCTAGCTCCGATAGCGTACACACATACATGCACATATGGCTTTAAATCTCTCTCTCTGTCATCTTCAAACTTTACTCGATACAGCTTTAATGCAGCTTTAAATACATATCATACTGACATACAACATGTCTGAAGCTTTAAAATTCGATTCAAACAGGTGCCGAATGCATTAAAGAAAACCCGGCTTAGGAATGAAACACAAGTAAAAATCACAGTTGTTGATTAACTCTCATTGAAAGCGGTTTACTGCCAAAACTAAGCAGGAAGTTGGGCAAGTGTTTGCAACAAAAGCTGTAACTTAGAAGAAAGTGTTACTAAAAAACAAAAGAAAGAAAAGAAAAAAATTTAAAAATATTCAAAAGCATTACAAAAAGTAATTATTTAAGAAAATAAAAAAGTAAAAGCACTCGAGAGTTGCCATTTTATTGCAACGTTTCTTGCAGATGGAAGAAATAATAATTTTGTTGAATTTTATTCATGTAACAGGCGGTGGTGGTGTTACGGTTATTGAGAAACGCATTTTAAAAATAATAACAACGCAACACTTTACTTCATCCAACTTGTATAACTAACTGCTCTTGTAATTACTAGTTTTACTTTTGTTTTCTTCACTTTTTATCTTTTATTTTGCGGATAAAACAAGTGACAGCAGACAGCATTTAATAACTCAAGTGAGGAAAAATAGAAAACGAAATTTTGTGCAAAGCAATGAAAAAACAAATCACCCACCTTACGCTAGTGGAGGCAATGCTAAAGAAAAGTGAAATTGTTAGCCGATTATGTGGACATGGCGGCTGCCGCCTTTGGCCGCTTGCCATTTTATTCATATCTCTGATGTTGCAATTGTTCGGAAGTTCAATGGCATTTACTTTGCCTTTGCCCTTCGGTTATTCATCGTTAAGCATTAAAAATCTTTTAAATAGTGTTTTATTATCTAGTAACGCCAATCTAGCTGGTGGCGGTCGCAATCTTAAATCGGATGTACTCGAAGATGCCTCACTGATAACGGTATGTGTTTAATATGAATTTAAAAAAAAAAAATAAAAATATTTTACACATTTTCCTTCATTTCCGAGAAGCAATAAAATAAAAGCTGAATTTAAATCGGTTTTTAACGTAACTAATTATATTAGAAATATATTATTACCGCAAAAGCCTGAAAGACTGGCAAAGCAATGAAAGTCTTTTCATCATTTTGTGTACAATGAAAGCAATAAGATAAGTTAGTTAATTAGTCCTTAATAGCGGCAGTTGCGAATATGGCTTTAACTCATGGCTACAGTTGCGAGCTATTATATAAAATATTATTACTATTATTATTAATATCGTCAAAGAAATAAATTCTAAGACTCAACTCTTAACAGCATTAGCATCTAAGGCTATCTATCGGCTTTTATTAAAAACTCTACCGCACTCGAGATTCGAACCCACGAATAAAAAAAATGTATATATAAAATAAAAAGAATAATTCAGAATGTGTTCGACAGTCGAAAGTATCTTTAGACCTAATCATTAATCTTAATATGTCGAAGGAAACTAGTATCACTCTACTAATCTATAATGCGCTATATTGAAGTTAACTCATCTGGCCTTCCAATCATCCAGTTCACCCGCATCTTGAAAGTCAAACAGCTGTAAAACTAGTGAAGAGTATTCTCTTAGAATCAACTACACAGATGCGATTGGGAAAAGTGAATGATTTTTGTAGCCACGTGCTTACTAAAGCCAAGATCTGAGAAAAAGTCGAGCAAAGTATAATTAATTTTTGTATGTTTTCCTTAACAAACCATGATTTACGGTTAACTGGATACCGATTTCGACTTTGAAGATAAATTAGAGTCGCTTAAAATTTCACGGAAGGCCTGCTTATTGACACAAGTTAGAGAGTAGTTCACGATAGCGGCTATTGAACTTGGAATTTCGTATAAAGCAACGAAGACATTTGTAATAGGTTTCAATAAGTGCATCTATAAAAGAATTACAACATAATTCATAGATTGGATAAATTGCAAAACCACAATCACTAAGAAACTGCGAAATGGCGAGAAATGTTAATTCATTTAGAATACCCACGTTATAGTGGTTTAAAGATTAAAAGGAAAATCAAAATTTTTGGCGAGTTTGCAAGTGGAAAGCAAAAATGGATCCAAAGTTCGGATAAATGTATAAACAATATAATAACACTATTTCTAACAAAGCAAACCTCCTTCATATTATAATTTCGACTTAGTTTCTAGGCAGAGGAACAGTGCCAGCTACTTCTTGAGGCCGATTTGCGATTCCGCTTTCATCTTGTGTATTGTTGAAAGCTGTTGTCCCTTCAGCAAGCTTCAGAGATACTCATTTTAGATGCATGTATGTAAGTTGTGTAAGACAACCGCTTTGCATTATATTCACGCAGCCAGTGTTCCCAACATGTAACTATATTGCATAATGTTCATATTATTTTGTCCACCCCCTATAGTTCCTTCGTAACCTAAACATTAGCTAAAACCGCTTCGTTGGATGTGCTTGAAATCTCCTGCGCGACTATTCTGATAGAGAGAAGATTTACCAGATTTGAGATTTGAAACCACAAACACTGACTTGATAGTCGCGGGTCTTGCTTGCTCGGCTACTCAGCCTTAGATTAGAAAGGATTTCAGTTAGAAGTGGTCGGGAAAAAACGAAAGCGCCCAATGTGATTTTTCACATGTCCGTAGATTCGCTACACTCAGTACTCTTCTTAACATAAGTATTGAAAGTTTTTCATATTCCACAATAAAGGCGCCAAATAACATTCGATTTTGCTGAATCTTTTATGTCCACTACACATATACCTTAAAAAAAAAAACCTCTTTCAAGTTCCCATAATGTGCAATATTGAAATGACTTGTGTCGACTTTTCTAGTTGTGTACACATAGCGTAGGATTGATCACCCATATAAAAAATATGCACCATTTGTGTAATTGTACTTTGTGGGTGTAAAGCAGAAAACCTGCTGTATCTCGTTTACAAAATCATGCGTTCTCAGTTTATGTTGTACTGCTCTGATTTGGCCATTCTCCATACTGGACTGCTAGCGCTAAATTTGAATGGTTTTGCAAAAAGTCGAGATGACTTAATTTTTACAACTAAGAGTTTTGGAGTCTATGCTCATGTAGGTAGGAATACTTATATAGAAATTTGATCTTACACCGATGGACGGAGGGACATGGTCAGAGGTATTCGGATTTTGATAACGATCAAGAATTTACGTACTTTACAGAGTCTATAAAGATTCGTTCCGGATCTTGCAAATGTGTGTACTCTCGGGTGTAAAAATAATTGATTTGTAATTGTTATTCCAATGTCAGCGTCATCTTCGAGAAAAATCAACTTTGTAGGTAAGATGTTGCGCGCGTAATTTGAAAATTTTGAAATGAAAATTTATGAGAACTCTTCAATTAAGCCTTCTATTTCGAATAGAGATATTTGATGTGATATTTGCGAGCATCTGTTGCAAACAATAGCAACGTTAAAGAAAGTTCACGTACCTTCAAGTGAAGGTATAGTAAATCATAGGCATATAAGTACGGCAAACGAATTTCTTTCAGAAAATCGTTCTATGGATATAAAAATCCTTCCCAAGCCGAACATAACCTTGCTCTCGTTGCTCGTTTTTCCACTTTTTTTTTCCTCTTTTGTTTTGTTTCAATGGTTTTCTTTTGTATGTATGGAGCTTACACGTATTTATTTCTCACTTTGTTTCTACGCATTATATTTTTCTTGTTTTTTTTTATTTTTTTATTATTAATTCGCTCAATTTGTGTTCTTCAAAATGGGAATAATTTTCCATTAGTGTAAGTATGTCAATAACCCCTTTATGTACAAATAGTTTTCTGTGTAATCTCGTTTCTGCTTTTTCCACTTTTCTTCATAACTTTGTTTTTATATGGGTGCGATTGTGTGTGCATAAAAAAAAAAAATATGTTATATGCTTACATCAACAACTCACACTTTTTTACTGTTAGCGAATATTTTTTACTGCGATTTTTAATATGTGCAATACAGAAGTTTACTGTTATTGTTTATTAATGTTTTGCATTTGTTTACCCTTCTTTTGTTTTTCCCTTGCACGACGTTGGGCTTGGTTTTTCATGATTACTTAAAAGTTCATTGGCCAAAAGATGAGATCTGCAATAGTGTTTTAACGATTTTTCACGTAAGATGAAAGGATTCTTTAACATAACGAATGGAGTTCTCATATACCTTAAGTATTTTTAGAGATATATAAGCCTAAATGTTTATGAGAATCCGATAATAATAGAAATCGTCAATAAAAAATATATCATGCATACATGCATAAATATCTTAACTTTCCAGTAAATCAACGCCATATGAAATCCAATCAGAAAAGTTAATCCGTGATACACAGGAAATTCAACGCTTAATGTTTCCCATCGGTTCTAATTCGTAACTTCTATGCAGACCTAATAAAACTTATCTACTTATCTACTTGTATACATTTTGAATTATTAGCTGGGTTAGTTTATACTTAAACGTGTGCTGCACTGTAATCAAAAGGAAGTAAAACTTTTTTTTATGCCGATGAGCAGTTTCTTCTGCTTAGATTGGAAGCATCCTAATTGCTATCTTTGTTAAATTTCATGCAAATATCTTCAATAATCAATCAAATCATCTTACTTCCTATCGTCGAAGAAAGCTACGCCTTCATGTCTTCAAATCGATTCGGCGCAATGTCCGAACAAGCAAAGCTGTATTAAGCGAATAGAGTGGTTGGAGGACAATATGAGTTGGATTCATGTTAAAAGAATCTCGAAGAGATGACAAATTGAATTGTCGTGATGCGAAGACAAGGATTTGTCTCTTCCGAGTTAACAGAGAAGGAATTGATAATGAATGCATCATAGTTACACGAAGATCAAAGAGAACTTAGTTCTAGTTCGTCTTGATGATCAGTCTAATGTAGTGCGGAATCACTTGGTGTTATGTGAATTATCATTACTTGGTAATCTACCTTGGAAACTTCTTCTAGATATATATATATACCCAGTTTCAATCTTTTTTCATGAACATAAAAGTTTCGAACTTTTTTGCCGAAATTGATTTCTTCCTCTATTTTACTAATTAATAGCAAATTCTCAATTCGATCTTTTAAATTCAATCAAGGTAATGTCCGAAAGGCATTACTTATATGAGTAATAAAATCTTCTTTAAATTTCTGATGCCATTCTTTTAGAGTATATGAAGAAAGTTTCAGTTCATTCAATATGTACGAGGACTGTTTTAGAATCAAAAACCATTTTGCGACAAACAGGTAAGAAAGTAATACTTGGACAAAGCGTTACCGAGCAACTTTTGTCGAGATATTATTATTTTCTCCAACATAACGACTTTTCAAAATGGAGCGTTGCATGAAGAGTGATCGACAAAATGGACCGATTCGAACCACTTTCAATAGGACTCGTGTTCTTGGGTCAAGGCACGTCAGCGTAACAAATTTCATAAAAATATCTCAAAAATTGTGACATATACATGGGCACGCATCAGCAGGACAGACGGACAGACAAAATTAGATCGCTTCAGAAAATGATTCTGATCCGATCGCTATAGCAAATGGTGGGTCTGTCTTAAGCCCTTCTGAGTGTTACATACGTCCGCAATAACTTAACATACTTTATACAACAAGTGCTGTAGGATATAAATAAATAATTTGAGTGACAAGTGAATAAAATTTTAACCAAGCAACGAGTTTATCGAATAAATGTTTTCAGCTTATTTATGGCTTTGGGTGGGATCTTCTAAGCAAACGCCTGCAAAGGGTTAAAGAATAGAAGGGTTGATGATGCTCAATACATACTTGCTTACATATTCATTTTTATGACTCAATAAAGTAGAAGGGCAGTACGATTAATGAACAAATCAAAGTTAACGCTAATTTCTTCAGTTAGTAAGTCATTGAATCTTGCAAATCAGTTGTATTTTAGGTTCGTTAGTTTGATTATCAAATTGACCAAGAGCTTCA